CCAGCGCAGCACCAGCGTCCAGGCAGGTGCAGGGGGAGGGGGGGCAGGCCCAGCTGGTGATGCGGGTGGGGAGGCAGGTGCTGGGACTTGGCTCCACCAACCAGTTATTTCCAGAAGGAAAACCGGAGGCCTTGGCAGCCGATGCCACTCACAGGCGGCACCAAGCGAGAACCCAGGCAGGCCTCTGCCCATGGAGGCCCTGGCAAGGGGTGGAGGCCGAGGAGCCCGGGTGGCCCCAGGGAGGGGTGCAGGCGGGGGCAGGGACTTTAGCTGCCTCCCTGCTGGTCTGCCCCATGCTGTCGAGACCCAGGCCCGGGCCGCCCGACTCCAGAATCCTGGGGGGCTCCCAGAGCCCAAGGTGACCCACAGCCATGACCCGGCTCCCAGGTTGTCCCCATGAGGCCCTGCCCAGGGCCTGGCCTACACCTGGACCTGAGGAGCAGGAAGGACACCTGTGGGGACGAGGACAAGCTGAGCTCCCCTCCTGGGCATCGCCCTTCCGCTCGGGGAGGGGACGCATCTGGAGGAAGGAGCCCAGTCCCGTTGGCGGGGCGTTGAGTCCAGGGCTTTGGAAAGATGGGAGTGGGGGGTCCTGGTCCCATTTCTCTAGAGGGTCACAGGGCTGGGGGCGAATGGGACAGGGGCTGGGCCCTTGGGCCTGAAGAACCAGAAGCAGGGGGGCAGGTGGGGGGCACCGCGGGTGCGGGTGGGGACCTCAAAGGCACTTGCTGAGCTTGGCTGCTTGGGTGGAACACTGTAAACAGCCAAAGAATTTTGTTTGCTTGCACTGGGGGGGGGTGCGGGGGGGCAGCCAGGTCCAAGGCACAGAGCCTGGAGGAGGGCGAGGTGCATCCCGGAAGCCCAGAAGTTCCTGCAGGGGTGTGTCCCTCCCCAGGCCTTCCCGACGCCCTGGTTCTCCCGCTGACCCCTACCCTTCCCTGCCAGCCGGCCAGGCCGGGCACACTAGGCCCGAGGCGCAGGAGAGGGGCGCGACCCCACTCTGGCTGGGCACAGACACGTCTACTCCAGGGGACTTGGCAGCCACAGCCTCCCTCGCTGACCCCTGGGAGCTGCTGACCAGCTTGAGGCCATTCCAGGAGGAAGCCTGGCTGGGGGGAGCGGTGGAAGCCCTGGCATGTCCCCCCAGGTGGGCCTGAGGTCCCTCTCAGCTGTTGTCAACATTTAGCCCCCGGACAGGGTGTCCACCAGACCCAGCTTCAAGCCAAACCGCCTGACCCTTCCCAACCGAGGCCCCCTTGGGCACCCAGCATCGGCCCCCCATCCCAGCGATTGGTGAGGGGCAGTTCCTCCCACCTTCAACCGGGAAGAAAGACAGTCCCAGAGCTCACAGGGGCGCCCTCAGCCAGGCCGCACCGCGTTCAGGGTTCAGGCCCGGGTGGCGCCTGCAGGACCCACACCCTGCGGGGCAGTGAGACCTGCGCACTGTCCTCCCTGGTCCTCCTCCCGCCCAGACTGGCTCCCATGGCAACCACTGCCAGCAGGTGGCAGGGTCCTGGCCCACGTGGTGAGGAAGGACAGGGACTGGGTCCTGAGGGCCCAGTTGAGATCGCCCTCCCCTCTCCTCCGACCCTCCCACCCAGCTGGCTCCCGGGCCCCTTGCACCCCAGCTGTGGAAGGACAGGTGAAGAGCCCCCAGGGGGACCCTACCAGCTGTCCCCCCTGACTGCCCTGCAGTCGCCTGGGGCTGGGGGCGGGTCTTCATTGCTTCTTCCTCCTTGGCTTTGACTGGGAGCCCCACTTTCGCTGCTTGGGGCACCCTATTGCTGTGAGCCCCGACAGGGGGTGTCGTCCCTACTCCCTCCCCCCTGGTGCCCGCTCCACTTTGGCCAGGCCACCGTCTCAGCCGTCCAGGCTGCCTGCCCAGTCACCCGATCTGCCCGCCGCCCCGTAAACTTGACGGCGCGTGTGGGGCGGTGGCTGGCTTGGTGGGGGCGGGGGCTGCTCCTTAAAGGGGCCGTCGGAGGGTGCCCTTGGGCCCCTGGCTTCTCCCCTTCTCCAGAGCGAGAAGGGGCGGGGGTGCTGGAGTTCTCGGTGGCCACTGGGGAGGCAGCTGGGGGTTTGTGGCGGCGCAGACCCGCCCCCCCCCAGGCCAGAAGAGGCAGCGGCAAGTGTCAGGGGAGGGAGGGAGGGAAGGAGGGAAGGGGCTGCGAATGGGAGGGGTGGCATGGAGAGGTCCGCGAGCTATGGAGCTGGGCAGGGCTACGGGGAGGGTCTGGAACGGGCCTCAGCAGCTGTGCCCCCTGCCCCACCCCAGGGCTCTGGCGCCGGCACCTGCACAGCCTGCCTCAGACCTGGCCCCATCTGAGGGTCCAGGGAGGGGCTCTGGCTCAGAGCAGTGGCGGGGCTCCCAGATGGGGAGATCTGGGGGGGAGGGGGGGGGGGGGGAGCTCAGGAGGGGACGGGCTCCCCTAGCTGGGGAGAGGCTGCCTCAGGCCTTTGGCTCTCCCCCTTGATCCCTCTTGGGTCTGAAGTCTGAGCTCAGAATTTCTATGTGACCAGCCCAGTCCACCTCTGGGGCGGGGAGAGAGGCCAGCTCAGCCGGGGCTGCTCCCTCCATCCCAGCAATCCCGACCCCAGCAGCCCCCATCCCAG